GTACAAATTCAACACGTTCAACAGCAGCAACACAAATCATTCAACAAGTTCAACATCTAATCGAAAATGTTCGTCATGATTATAAACATCTCAATGATTATCAAAATTTAGCAGTAGTTTTAACTTATCCGTGCTACAAACCACTACGAACTACTACACAAGAATTACTTGATAATATAAATGAATATAACAAATGTTTAATCTTATTAGTACAACAACTTCGTTTTACAATATTAGATTTCAAAATACAACGTCACCATCTTTATGACGATATCCACATCAATAAAAAATATATATGTCTTGTTAATGAATCCTTAACCGCCTATTTCCATAGCTCAATAATTCATTCCCCACCTGTTTCATCCTCTATACTATTACCACCCACATCTATTCAATTACAATCAACACCAAAATCTACTGAAGAACCAGAACAACTCTCAGATCAACCACAAAAACGAACAACTCATGAACAACGTAATCCGGAAACCATTAAAAAACGTCGTGCTCAACATCATAAAGCACAAAGAGAAAAACATAAACAATTTAAACTGCATCGACGAATCGGTAAAAAGGTAACAATACAACACGTTAAAAAGATGTTGGCATATAATCAAATTAAATATAAAGACATTCCACCACACATTTATGGCAATTTAAACATACTTTTTGCAACACAAGAGGCGAAAGAAGCTGCTGATAAGCTTTTACCAAGTGACGCTTTCAGTGATGGAAATGTACAAGCTTGGATGGACACTCAGAATCAGTAAACCAGTGTCGTTTAGTTCTATTAGTTTCTGTTTTTCCGTTGTCGTCTTTCATCCTCTCTTCTGACCGCAGGGGACCGTCTTCGAGTCTACGGCTTGCCAGAGGCTTGAGTTTCGTCGGTTCATCTTCGGCGTGGGGGGAGGTGTTAGCGACAACTATAACCATAGTCATCGCTAACTTTATTCTACACTAGAGTTAATCGTTGTCCTTTCTTGTCTCTCTGTATATACATCACTGTTATTCATCCTTCCCTCTCAGTCAGTTAATTCTCTCTACTACGAATAGCTCTTTACACATTACTGTTGTTCATTCTTTTCTTTCAGTCAGCCAATTCTCTTTCCCACTGTTAGATATATATAGATATCCCTGTTATTCATTGTTCCTTGTTTCTTTTTTACTCTTCAGTTGTTATTCTTTTCGTTATATTGTAACTTTCAACTTTCATTTCTAATAAAAATAAAGACTTTTCATTGTCTCTGCATAAAAAGTCGGTAAGTACGATTCTAGTCTTTTTACCCTTTAGTGTGAGCTCTCGCCCTAACAGACCGGGGTCGTCTCTGCTGTCTCTTCCTGTCCCTTAGCCAGGAGCCTCGAACAGTGATCATCGAGCTCGAGAGCCTCACAGGTTCGATAAGACCTGATCGCAGCGAACACATGACTGAGGTGTCGAGAAGCGAGTCAACCCGCGACGGCTCTTCGTTGTCGTCGTAGTTCTCACTATTGGTACGTTCTGGATGCGAGGGACGAGGGAATGAGGAGGAACTGCTCGGCAATCATATTATGAGTGCTGATCTATCGAAGCTTCGATTGAAGTCGCAGGAAATAGGCTCCGAGTGGAACGTGGTCAAACGCAGCTGACTGTCGGAGTTGCGTCAGCACTATGTGTGACCATTGATGTGATCAACTATCGGTGATCTGCAGGTTTTCACCGAAATTGATGAATTTGGATGAACTTTGGAACCGGTGGATGATCATCGATGTTTTGTGTGAAACATCGATTTTCATCGATGATTAGTTTCACGGATGATGTTGCATTATTCATCGACGTTTTCACGTGGTTTCAACGATGATTTTTTCCTTTTGGGACACGATGGGGTACTGGCATACCGTTCCTATTTCTAAGAATCTTGCTGAACTGAAAGAAAAGTAAAGAAAAACAGACTGATCAATCGAATCACGTGTCCATGACTCAACGGACAAAGAAACTTACCATCAAGGGAGATTCTGCTGGAGAATGGTGGCGAGATCTACAAACTTTGCCTCACAAAGGCTCAATCGGAGTTGGACTCATCATGTTCCTCGAAGCGATAAAAAGAGTAGAAAGACTATCAGGATGTGTTTGGCTATGGCCAATCGAACGTCAAAAAGAGTGGATTTCGACATTTCTAAGTTCGCCACGACAGAATTGGCCTATTTGAGTGAATCAGAAGAATTTTCTCGGAGGGCAGGTTTCTGCAGGAAACGACCTCTCTTCTTGCATCTTCCAACCCCATTTGATGCATCGATTGACGCATTTCGGTTCGCATCGTGAGTGTAGTGAAAGAAAAGCCTGTATGTATGAGTGAAGACACAGATGATGACTACTTGCATCATCGTTTGTTGCAACAGAGTCAGAACGGCAGGTAAAAATTATGCAATTAAAAACAAAGTCCCGTCGCTCGGAATCGAACCGAGTCTATCCGATTTCTACGATGCTTTCCTCTCTACAGTCGGAAGTCCTACCATTAGACTACGGCGGGTTGTCCTTTACCTTTCTAATGTATGACACAATTTTGAAGAAGCTCTCATTGACGAAGTTATCTTTCTTCTCGAGAATGTAAGCATAGTAGTCGCAAAAATTCTGCTTTCCAGTACCGATTATTTACTACGATTACTTTAAAGACCAGATAGTTTGAAATCATCAAAATACAGTTATCAATGCAACACAACGCGTGAACAGCTACGAAGTGAAACGGCAAAAACAAAAAATGGTTCCTCATGGTACATTCCAGATTAGATTGGGCCATACCTGAGGGTGAAGGTGAGCGTGTGAATAACAGAACAGTGAGAGTCACATTCACCCCAACCACTGCACAACTGTCACTGACTTAAACCAAAGGAGGCGCCACGCGACAGACAGCAACTGCATTTCACTACAAGGTCACCGTCAGCAACGAATCTTGATTGCATGTAGTCGCCCTCTGCTGATCTTGCACGATTCTTTCTGTCGTCCTCCAGCTCACACAACTCACTAACACCTCTAAACATCTCTGCTCGACATTCGGAGGGGCGTTATTTCTACATCGTTCAAAATAGACGAATTCCTCCACAAAATGGCAATCTCCTTTAAGAATTGTCGAGTGGAACAGAAGAATTATTCTCTCCTTGCCAACTGATCTGATTGAGCACACAGTTTCCAGCATTTGCTCAGACTCGAGGCTGATTTGTCTGTTTATCTCACCATTAGTTCCACTGCGCCCTGTGGTCGGCCTTCGCCTCCCTCGAATTCCTTCATTCTCTCATTCCGCCTCACTATGCATGCTGCATCTCTACCTGCTGCTGTTCAGAACACAACTCCAGAAGGCGTTCTCTCCTAATGATGGTGGTCTCTCACTCTGACACTCGCCACCTCAATGGGTATATTGGAGGGTACGGGTGCCACGAAATCTTGATTCCTTGTTCTGCAACTCTCCATTTCTCGGCCACTTTCCCTCTGATTTCTATTTCTTGCGTTGAGGGTGAGCGTGAGTTCATCTAGGTAGTTTAGAATCCATGCTACGAATGACGATCGTTTCGGATGTACTTCATCCATTCATCATCAGGCGAGTCAAGATTCTAGTAGTGAAGATCGATCCAACACGTAGGATGGAATATCAAAAGAATTTTCTTGAACGTAGACATACTGAAGTGTACACTTGATTTCTTAACGTCAGAATCGATAACTTGGAAGGTGATCAAGTATTTTATTTTATCACTGTGGTTATGCTTGGTTGCGATTGATGCTAGTCCAGTTGCTGCACCTGAGACCAGAGAGTTTCTGTACCTTCAGTCAGCATGCCCACGAATGGATATGTGGGGTTTGAGTGAAGTGACGAAAGCATCATGCAGCGCTGCTTGCTGTTGATACTTGTATCAAATCGCTAGGGAGACCCGTCTGCAGTTGTTCTCTTTGTGCACCAGGCGCTGGAGGCGGTATCGGCTGTCTACTGTCACGAAAGAAAGGAGATCAACCACAATCGAAAAGAAAACAGAGCTTCACAGTCAAGAAAGTTTTTTTCTTTTATTCACAACAATCTCTTCTTCAAGAATTGGAATGTGAATAAAAGAATGCGCTTTATTCGAATAACAAGAGGAGATATGCCTCTGAATTTGAGCCCGCCATCAATTGGAGGTCGAAATCGATGGTTCTTGATAGCAAGACTGATGGTATCTTACCGAATCAGAGTGATGGACACTGTACTGAATGATTCGAGTAGCTCAACCACCAGAATCAAAGTTGAATCGGATACAGAGAGAAATTTGACAAGCGCAGGACAGTTGTATAACAAGGGATCAATATTTTATGGCACCATACCCTTTCACGCATCAGGATATATTGTTTTATGTCTCCAATTCGTATTTTACTGTCATCACTAAGCGTTTCTCTTATCATCCAGATAGAAAACTTCGGTCGAGTTGAGACTTCTTTGATCAAGCCAAAAGACTTCGATCAACTAGGTGAGTGCCATCAAGATCTCGTGGCATCCGCACCATCCCATATACCCATTGAGGTTGTGAGTGTCAGAGTGAGAGAGCACCAGCATTAGGAGAGAGATGCGACAGGTCTCGTGAGGCGGAGTGAGAGAATGAAGGAAGTTGAGGGAGGCCGGAGGCCGACCAGAGGACATAGTGAAACTGTGCACCCGAGGAAGAGATGAACAGACAAATCAGCCTCGAGTCTGAGCAAATGCAGAGAACTGAGCCCTCAATCAGGTCAGTTGGCAAGGAAAGAATGATGATCTGTGCCACTCGCGAATCCTTCGAAGGGATTATCATTTTGTGGAGGAATTCGTCAATTTTGAACGACGAAGCAATAACGACCTTCCAAATGTCGAGCAAAGATATTTAGAGGTGTTGCTGTGTTGTGTGAGCTGGAGGGAGAGAGAAAGAATCTTGCAAGATCAGTAGAGGGCGACTACGGGCAATCAAGATTCGTTGCTGACGACGATCTTGTAGTGAAATGCAGTTTCTGTCCGTCGCGTGGCGCCTCGCATGGTTCAAGTCAGCGATAGTTGTGCAGTGATTGGATTGTCCACGTCATCCTCGATCGATCGAAAAAACTAAGGAATTCCTCTCATTGATTGTAAATGCATTCTTGTATGCCTATCCATTCAGAAGAATGTCGAGGATGACTTGTTCGTGGTTCTTCGGGATTGCATCGCATCACCTACACATAGATAGTTATGATCAGAATACTCCCATAGAGACCGGCATCACCACCGTTGATGCTAAGAGAGAGATAGGTATCAAAAGGTTAGTTCACATTCACACATTTCATTCATCATGTTCTGTCACAGGACAAGTGATTTACTTCTCTTTCATAAGCTTATCCTTATCAATGCATGGATCATAGCATAATAACTAGTACTTAGTCCACTCAATAAACAGACAAAAAGAGATTCTTCTCTCGGACGTATATTGACTGTAAAAGAAGCTCATCAGCTCCTAGAGTAAGTCTTCGGTTGTTCGTGTTCGGATATTACTTTCGCTTGTTGTCGGGTTAATACCGTACAAGGTGGTGACGACGAGAAAATTCCTTTAATTTAGTCTGCGCGTCGTGATGAACGATTGACGACGAGCCGGCCAGTGTACCAAATGTGAGAGATCACGAAGAGAGGATCGAGCCGAGAGAGAGACGCAGAGTGATCAGGAGGAACGAGAGAGGACGAATTCCCGTGTCCGTCTCTCTCCGATATATATATCCATCCTCTTCGGATCTTCACATCGAGGGTCTCGAAGGACACCTACCAGAAAAGGAAGAGAGAGAGAGGAGGAGAAGAGAGAATGAAGTGATGTCACCTGTTGATGACATGAAGGATCATGGCGATGGCCATGTCCATCCCGTAACATGAAGCCGTGTTCAATAGTTTGGATAAAACCGGAATAACGATGAACGTGTTAAACTGATTTTCCAAGCAGGGCAGAAACGGCATGCTCACTCCGTTGTTCGTAGCCTAAGGGAGAAAATGAAATACAGCCTGGAGCCTGAATGGCCTCACTCTTCAGACGCTTGCAGTGTCCACATTCTACGACACGCGCCAAAGCTTGATCATCATATCGAAAGCTACAATTTCGGATGAAACTAGCAGTTAACGATAATTGCTGGATCAATGGCATCGGGCGCACCAACGCAGGCTCAATCAATTCCTCCATAATGGGTGATCTATCTAGAGGCCACCACGAGGAACGACCAACAAGCGCATCGCAGCTGCCACCAGCTTCTAGCCGCGTAACAGCAACTCCCAACAACTCGCCAGATGATAACCCCTGAAACAGGGCAAACATCGAAACAAGCAATTCACAAACGAGCAAATTCAGCTTGCTTTTCTCCACGACGATGGTTTTGTTTGCCAAGTGTCGAGTGTACGAGAAGAATACTCGATCGAACAAGATCATGATCCAAGCTAGAAAGCAACGCACGACATAACAAATTCAATGATTTTCAACTACATACATCTGCAATTCATCTCTGCTGATGGCTTTGTGAATCGGTTGAAAAGACCGGCATCGGCAAACGTAATGTCAGCCTCATCCGCCACGAAGACCTTAGTGCATCAGTCGAGTACGCTCATCAATCCAGTGCGGCTGAACTCGTCTGAACACAGATAAACGTCGGGCACTTTGTTACGAGCAACACGAACAGATCGTAAAAGAATGCGAATGAGATTGCTAATTTCACTCTTTCCAAAAGCTAGAACAGATTGACCATTCACAAGCAAAACGAGAACGTGTTATCATAACATACAACTTCGTGCAAAGGTGATGGCATAAGGATTCAGCGGTAGACGTATGTTATCACCAGCTGTTCGCAACACCCAACTGAATTCGAGTGTGGTGGTAACCACATTCACCAAAGCAAGCAAACTGCACACTGAATCCATTGTTAACACAGAATACCACGCTTCGATGCATCTGCACAAATTGTCACTAAATAAAACGTCAGGCCCAAGCCGCAGCTCCGTCGCACGCAGAACTTTTGCACGAATGAATTTAAATTGCAATGCGACATACCCACAAAAATAAAGCGAATGAAAACGCTAACGACAGGACCACTCTATTTATCCTCGTATGCCACGTCGCAGAAAATCAGAAACCAATCATCAGACCACTACCATGAACGATCAATAGACTGAAATCTGAATGTGATCACAACCACAGTGCTAACTACATCATCCCCATCGCTAAGCGATGGAGCAATCGGATCACATCTTTGTCAATCCACACATAGCAAAGACATTTTCAAGCAGACGGAGCACCTGCCGATACGTGAGTTCTATCGAATCATGCCACTCTTTCAGAAACTGCTTCACATATGGCAAGCAGAATTCTGGAGAGGATTATACTCGTCCTGTATAAGTCTAATGCTCGAGGATAAAACGAAGTTTGATAGCCACGACGACCGCTCGATTATCTGAGAGGGATGGAATTCTGTAGCTTCATGTAATCATAGGAGCAAGAGATTCCATTTCATATGAAATTAGGTGAGTCGTCAGAATTCTGCAAGTGCTGGAATAGCGAGTACTCCGGCGGTGACCATCGGCTTTTTCTTGCTGTGGCGTACAGATTCGTCTAGTGCAATACGTCTCGCCTCTCCTTCTGGGATAGGAGAACATTTCAGCCTGATCAATATCCAACCATTTTCGTGTGAAATGGGGTATGCGACGGAAAGAGATCTCAACAGATGGATTGACAGGGGAAATTGAGGGACGGTAAAAGATAGCCGATATTGGACGCAAATGTTTCCACATGCTACATGAAGAATACGGTATATGCAGAAGGATGGAGCAAATTAGACAGACACAGAGTGAATCAGAGCAATAATGGGGGCGTGTTGTGCGGGTCGACTTATGCATTCAATTGTGGAACATGGATTAGAATAAATGTTGTTCGTGCGCATCTTGTCGCTGCCATGTCGGCCTAAGTAGTCGACGTTGACTCTCTAACAAATCTATTCGACTTATCGTTACTACTCCTGTCCAGGGAGCACGACAACCGCTAGTAGGTAATTGTTAACATCTCAGCACTGAGGACAACGAACCACTCCGTTGAGAGAAATCACTGACTCGTATCAAAAACAGAGCGTCTCCTATCGTCTGCACTGTGAGTCATGCTATGATACTACAAGGGCAATTACGATCATGAATGAGAAGAATCTGCTCTAACGGAGAGCTGATACGCACCGATCTCTTCGCCTGATTCTATCATGGTCAATTCATCAAACCCAAACTAACTGCTACAGGAGGACATCATATGATGGCGCATGGTTTCGTAGCTCTCAGTCAGCTTTATCTGCCGTGAAAAAAAGGGCGGTGGTTCACTGTTCCTCGGTGTACTTTCCCAAGACTACACTATAGGTGACCAGGATGCTTCAAACTATATCCGGAATAGTGTTGATCAGGGCAAGTACCCCACCGCAGCATATTATAGGCCATGTTTTAGCATGGTTTTGTTGCGCGTCGCAAGAGCTATCGATGTTGCATAAACAGGCTTTCTCAGCCCATTCAACTGTTGAGATCGAGTTAATGTAAAATGTTGGAAACGTGTGCAACAATCTCAGAAATTCAGGGGGACAGAACTTTTTCAGAAAGCGCTCTGGAGACCAAGTTCTGTGACAAAAAATGCTCAGCTCGTCGAGATCTCTCAGGTTATATATAACAGTTGAGGTTCTGAGTACTTTTCTATTAGGGGCGATTTGTGGACAAACCTTCCCCCTCCTTTATTTCATCAAATGATTTTCGATCAAACTTTAGTCACATTATAATTAAAAAACAAGACATATAAGGTGAGCGATGGAGGAAACTGTAGCTTAAATATAACCTGGTAATTGGAATCCGATTTTTGTGGTGCAGCTTTACCATCTGATTTCAATTCAGTTTCTTTGCCGTCTAGTACTCGATAGGTTTTACCACCAAACATCCAATAACTGTCAAGATTAACAGCATATGGTTGACGCTGTTGTGTGAAAGGTGTTTCAATTATCATCGTTAAGTTATTTGTCGGATAATCCCATGAAAGCCTAACATCAGTACATGTTTTGAAATTTGTCGCTCCCAATTCGAGCGTCGCCGAGTCACACGGTTGGGGGATGAATAATCGACTCTCGCATACACCTGGTGAATTGTATACTTGAGCTTCGCAAGATTTCCCCCTAACAGGTGTATTGTAAACTAATCCAATTGAGATCAAGACGAAGAGCGTAGATATTGATAGCATGCTGTGTTATTTCGCGAGAAAATGAAGGTGGAATAGGTCGAATAGGCCATTTATATATTTTTTTTCTGCATACGCAAAATGATAGAGAAAGGCTTACCAAGATAAGAAATGTATGAAAAGATCAGAAGGCAATCCGGCTATAGAAACACAGATGTTTTTCTGTTATCGTTTAAAGCGAATTAAGCTCTCCTAGATAGTTACAACAAAGGAGAGGGGCCGTTAAGACCACAAAACGGGCCTCGGCAGAAAACGTTCAGAATACTCCCTAACTCTTCTTTCCCTGTACCAGATGTCGCAAATCATCGAAATCAACCGTTTCCCGCCAACAAAACATGCGCTTCCTCAGGATTTCCCTTAGTGCTAATTTCCTCACTTTTCATGAGAAACCGATACTTGGTCATCAATGGTCTGTGGCCGCCAAAGCATGTAAACGACCTCTTGCACAAAAGACCCTTATACCATTCGAAAGCCCTGAGTTTGCGCTTTCGAATGAGCTATCCATCGGCCATATAGACCCTCGGCCCGGGGGTAAGCCGGAGTCCGCAACCGTCTGGTAGGAGCGCTGAGGATGGCGCACAGATGATAGTAGACTCAAAAGATACGCTGCTGATAGTTCGAGGGTAGTTCCGCCTCGATAAAGACTGTAGCTGAACCGATTCTGCTTCTGGTCTCGTGTCCGGATTTAAGGATCAAGCTTTTCAGGGGCTCCCGGCTGGTTTGAAGGTCTGCGATTATGGGTCCTGAGGGTTTCTCGATCGTTGTCTGCCTGAGCGATGCTAGTTTAGTACTACTGCTGTTTTGTTTCACGCAGACGCAAGCGAATTGGCATTAGACTGATGGACATATATTCTAGATGTGGCTGATGGGATCGCTCAGAATGAATAGGAATGAATATTCATTGGAACCGTATACAGCGACCGCTGTTGCTGATTCAACTACTAGTAGTGTAGGGCATAGAGGGAATTGAAAAGGTGCGTAGTTTCACGACGAAAGATGGGTTCAAAAGAACAACGAACTGTTCATTCTTCGCTCCTCTCTACATTTACTGCTACATTCTCTATCACTTCACATCTTCAAATCCAACTATGCCTCATCACTATTGTCCATGTGGTCATCATCATCATCATCATCAGACAACTGCAAGGGCGTCATAGCGTGTGCAGTCGATCACTAGCTTTCTCCACTTTTCGCGATTTTGCGCAGCCTTCTCTATCTCAGCTTCTGTCATCAAATGTGTGCTG